GAAGTGGCTTTAGCTTGTCAGTGCTGTGCTTCAACCTGCTGCGCCACTAGGGAGGGCTGGCTGTGGACTTTTAATTTGGAGACTCCGGGAATCCACAGCCCTCGCCGCGCAGACTAAGCTACTTTGACCAGTCAGGGAGGATGGTGTGGCTTCTTCCAAATGAGGCAGTGGATGGCGGAGGGTAAGATACCAGGCCTACATTCCAGGCTATTCTTCCAAGTTTCCCAACTGGATGTGCCTTGTATCCAGCCCAGCAGGCGGAGTGTGGAAGAGTCAGCAATTCCTCACATGCTGCCTCCCCCACCCAAAGCTGGTGCTCGCAAGGAGGACTGTGAGTCTGCAGGGGGGGATGCCCCTCTCCAGTGCCCTCAGCACTGTCTCTGGGGGTGGAGTGTTCAGTCATGCGGAGTCTTAGTTCCCGGGAAAGTAAACTGGGTGCATGGAGCAGACTCTAGGAACAGTTGGTTCCCAGCCTTTTCTCTTTCCCCAAAGAACTCTCCAGACCAAGCTGCAGCCTTCCCTGGGGCTCTCCCCTGACCAACACCTCTTCCCTCCACACAGCCTGCCGCTGAGGTTCTGGGTGAACATGATCAAGAACCCCCAGTTCGTGTTCGACATTCACAAGAACAGCATCACGGACGCATGCCTGTCGGTGGTGGCCCAGACCTTCATGGACTCCTGTTCCACGTCGGAGCACCGGCTGGGCAAGGACTCGCCCTCCAACAAGCTGCTGTATGCCAAGGATATCCCTAGCTACAAGAACTGGGTGGAGAGGTGAGTGCTGGCCGGGGGGGTGCTTAGCAGGCAACTTCCCTCGACCAGGGTCCCCACCCCTCCTATGGGCCGGCTCAGTCACGAAGCCTGACCCTGCAATTGCAAGCCCACCCACACCAACACAGCCTGTCAGCTGAAACAGGAGCTGGGAAGCTGCCTCTCCCCTGCGTGGCAGGCCAAGGTCTTAGTGCTGAAATGCCTTCTAGACCCAAGAAGGACTACAGTTCCCTTGTGCACCCCCCTCCTTCAAAAAAAAAACAACTTCTAGGTACCCAGGGTCTTGCCAGTTCTCCCGATGTCTACTGTGGATGTCGCTGTGCGTCATTCTCATATGGCTCCTCGATGTCCTGGCTTTGCAGTGCTTTCTCAGCCACAGGCCAGGACGGATGGCCTGCAGACCTCATGGCAAATTCCTTGGGCACTGCTGAGACTGGGCTTCCACCCGTAAGCTGCAGAGTCAGGTTTCACCATGTGCAAAGCTAACTCATGGTTTAGAACTTCGCTGGTCTGTCTAAGCCACAGAAGTTCAATATGCCGAGGACCTGCCCTCAGCAGCCAGATGGAGCCTTGCAATTCCCCGGAATTCAAGAGAATAGGCATTGGGACCTCATTCTGTGCCTATGAAGAAAGAGACACACAGAATGGTGAAGTTATGGGCCTAAGATGACTTTTAACGACTGGGACAAAAGTGAATCCCCAAACTTGACCAACTTTCAGATCTTCTTTCTGCTATTTACGAGACCTTTAGGTAGGGCCTCACCAGCCCATAGGGTTAAGGAAGGGGCCTCTTTCTCCCAGAGGGCGTGACCCGCCCCCAGGTCTGTGACTTGCTGAGCCACGGACCAGGTATCAGCCCCAGCTCCCCCTTCGATCAAGCTCCTGTGCAGTGAGCAGCCTGCACAACTGTACTTGACAGGCCCAAATTCAGTCTCGTGCTCTTCTTCCCAAGTAACCTAAAGATAGGAAAACCAGGATGTAAGCTCAGCTTTGATGCCTCTGTAAAGAGTACAAGAGACCAGAGATGGTTCCTGATTGGAGACTAAAGACCAAAGGAACAGTATCCCTTTGCACGTGACAGTGATGGCCTCCATCACTCTCTTTATACTGGAAGCGGCCTGTCCTGTGCAGAGGCTCTCAGAGGAGCTGGAGTCCGGACCACGTCAGTGACACATTTCTGCTGAAAGGCTGAATTTTACTTTCCCCTGCTCCTCTGCTCTTTGACACCCTCCCTTCCTTTCCAGCAGCTGCCCAGGGTAGCTGCATGACCTCAGTCATCACAGGGAGAGCAAACCTTTTGTCCTCCTATCTGATGATGTGTGAGTCACAAGAGCCTCTCACCTCCCTGTCGTGGACAGAGCCTCATCAGACAGAGCTGCCGGGAGCAAGCCACCCAGGGTGGTCAGCTGGCTCTTCAGCAAAGGGGGGCTGGAGTCATCTGGGTGCTGAAGGAGTGTGGCTGTGACAGGACCTCGGGTGGGGGTGGAGGGGTGGGCACCTGAGGGGAACATCGGCACAGAGAACCCCTCCCGGAACAGCTGGCTAGCCAGAGGAGAGATCACGCGTATGCCGGGCTCCTGGCTTCTTCCACTGGGCGCCGGATGAGACTTGTGCAGCTGCGACAGGTCACAAGGAACCCCGTCCACTGGTATTTTTAGGAGTCAGTTGCTGGTTTCCATTTCTATCCCACCAGTTTCTTAGCAACCAGCGCACACTCAGGAAAGTCAGCTTTCACTCGCTCGAGGTCCCAAGTCCTTTCTGCTCTTGTTTTGGGATGAGGGTCAAAGATAGAGGACAGGAGGACGGCCCCGCGGGGCTGGACCCCAAGCCCAGAGTGCCTCTCACTTGGTGAATGCATCCATCCGCTCCCATCCCTGGGGAGCTGGCCTGGCTGCTGGAAAGGGAAGTCTGGCAGCGCGACTTCTCCAGCTCCACGGTGCCCGCCCCTCCCCCACGCACCCAGGGTACTGGCCGCCTCTGGTTCAGATGCGGGATGGCAGGAATCCTCCTGTGACCCAGGTTCACCTGCTATAGAAGAGGCTGCCGGACAGCTGCACGGGGCTCAGCTCAGGGTCTCACCATGGTAGAGCGTCCTGCGTGCTTCAGGAGAGGGTCTTCTGTCCCGTCATGGCCAAGAAATGGTCCCACCTTGCCTGGCGCCTCTGTGGAGTGGGGAGAAAGCATATGGACTCAGGCTCATTAACTCAGCCGCCTCACAGCCTTGATGAATCTGCTGCACCTGTGCTAGCTGGTAGTCTCTAGAGCTGCATCTACCACCCTGCAGTGGTTCTCTCCACACCCTCCCTCCCAGCTCACCTGTCCTGCAAATACTTCGTTGTGCTGATGTTGGTGGCCCGACAGCAGACTCCAGTCCTCATCGCCTGCCTCCAAGTATTAGGGCTTTGTCTGTTGCCACTTCCAGAGAAAGGGAAGAGAACCCCTTGGTTCCCCGAAAGCAACCCACTGCTACGCTCTCGTACAGAGCAGGCTCGCCCTCACCATGGTTGTCACCACCAGCCGGTGTTTCGTGATGAGTTGTGATTTCCATTTCATTACCAGTCACGGTGAAGTGTTCGTGTGCTCTGGCTGGGTAATGATGTGCCCTCATTTTAAACCAGGAAGCGTGTCAAGGTCACCCCAGCAGCAACTTCACCCTTCCACTCGCCGTCATGGGCTTTCCGTGTCGGGACAGTGCCGTGGCGCCTCCGTGGGCCCACTGGGACTGGCAGGAGGGCGTGCCACACATCGAATGCCATTTATCACATGTGTCAGAGCATGAAAGAGGTCAGGAATTCTAGTGCTTTCAATAGGCCTCCTAAGGAAGCCATCCATTCAGAATATAAAACGGTGACAGTCCACCCCAGAGCAATCCTGGGGGGAGTGTACAGTCATCTCATTAACTTACTCATTAATCCGCGAGTCAGACGTGTGAGCTATCCCCGAGGGCTGTACCAGGCTCTCGGGGCATACGAGACTACACCTTCCCTTGTGGCTGGGGTGGTCAAGGAGGACGCGAAGTTCCCAGGCAGGCCCCATGAGCTGTCAGAGAGGGGGCTCAGTGAGTGAGCACCCCGTTCTGCTGGGCCTGGAGAGGTGTGAGAGTCCTGGAAGGAAGATCTGGAAGGGCAAGTTCCAGGGCACAGAGCACATCAGGCCCTGAGTGTCTTGTTTCTGCAGCTTTGTCCTTGAGATGTTTGAGGGGATGACAACGCTCAGTTTATCCCTATGAGTTCAGGGTGCTAGACCAACCTCCTCTGTCAGGAGCGACCCTGAAGGCAGAGATGAGAAGCCACCATTACACACTGGGCCCAGTGTACAGGCTCCTGCTTGCTGGCACCTGCCATCAGAGGGGCTCCCCAGAATGGCATCAGGAATGTCGGGGCGATGGCATCCTGCCAGGCAGGAGCAGGCTCAGCAAAGAAAGCTGACAAGGCCGTAGTGAGAGCCAGATCCCCCAGCCAGCCTTGATCAGCTCAGTGGGGGCTCTGGGGGACACTCACAGCCCTAGTTCCTTCTGAAGGGCTCATCAGCAGGTGCACATTCTGTGGCGTAAGTTCAAGTGCAGGGAACCAGACTGACCTTTCCCTTCCTCTCTGCAGTCAGCTGGTAAGAACACTTGCTTGACGTTCATTCATTAGTGGGACATGGTTGCATTCTTCATCATCAATAAGGCTTCTCAGAGGCTGAGCCCAGCACCGAGGTCAGCACAGCTGGGAAAGGAGCTGTATGCTACAGAGACATTTCAGGGCAGGGTCAGCATCAGGCTCCAGGGGGCTGGCAAGGGGATGCCTGAGTAGGAGCAGAGCCCCCAGAGGAACAGGGAGAGGCCAAGGCAGCATCAGCAAAGCCTCGCAGGGAGGATGAGCCGCGGAGCACCAGACAGGCTGGGGGTGAGCCTGGGGGGGATGTTGGCAGGACCCCAGGCCCCCCGCTTACCCAGGATTCTGAGGTGTCCACCAGTGGCTGAGCACCTGCGGATATGAGAACACACGGTCCGTCTGCCTCTGTGCTAGAGTATGGCGGTGGACATGTACACCTTCCACCCCTCTGCCCGCCACAGGCCAGGGAGATCTAGCCTGAGCCCGCTGTTGATTCGGGCAACGCCTCCCCATGAGCCATCAGGTCCAGGTGGGCGATCACCTTCAGGTGAGATTAGACCCCAGCTCTCTTCCACACACCCTCAGCAACCCTCCCCTCCCCGCCCCCACACACAGTTTCTGCATATTCTCTTTGGAGAAATGGGCTTTGGTATGAGACTAGCCACTGGGGAGGGACATAGTGATGAAGTCTCCTGTTTCCAGTGCTAATGGGGGCCCCTGACTAGGGTTCGTGTGCTTCTTGGGAGCCAGGCAGGCAGCGGTCTGCACACAGCCTGACACAAACAGCCATCTTGCTGTAAAAGGTTGCACAGCAGCCCAGGTCTGTACTTCGGTGGTGATCATGTCCTGTCAGTGGGGGCCAGGGATTTCCATCCTGCTCAGGCAGCCTGGCGGTCAGAGGGCAAGAGTGCCATGTCTGGAGGAAGGTCCAGTGCCTCTCTGTGAGCAGAGCCTATGGCTGCTGGCCACGGGACAGAAGCAGAATCCGTCTTTTGTGAATGTTTATCCCAGTAGAACCCGTGAGGATAAGCCTTCACTCGGCAAACGCATTTGGGCATGGAGCCCACGAGGGTGGGGACACAGGCCTCCTGGGGAAGGCGAGGCCGGCACTGTGCAGACCCCGGCTGTCCGCTCCAACATGGAGCACTGGCCTTTATGGTGTTCCGGAAATAGGGCAGTGAATCCAGTCTCTCAATTTCCTGAACCCCAAGCAACCTGAGGACAGGACAGGCCCACAGGGGGTGCGTTTCAGGCCTGGAGGAGAGTGGGCCGCTCTGGGATGGAGCAGGAACCGAAATGAAGCAGGACAGGGAACAGAAGGGTTCTCGAGGTGGGGAGGGCAGGGAGTGGGGGAAGAAGATGGTGGCAGATGGAGGCCCGTGGGGGCTGAGCCCCTCCAAGCGGGACCGTCCCCTGCAGCGCTTGTCCTGGGCCCTCAGGGCAGCTTGTTCTGGCCAGAGCAACCCTGCCATATGCACTCAGCTCAGCAAAGCCATTGACAGGTGCGTCTGTGTGACCAGGCTCCCCTCCCCTGCCTTCTGTACCCCCCTATTTATCTCGCTCCCACTCCTTTTGCAATGATTGCAGCCCATGCCATGGCTCAGAGCAGGCAGCGGTCCCCCCTCGCCCGACTTGGCAATGCTTGGGGCAGATGAACCGTCATTGCGTGCAGACCCTGGAGCCTCGTGGCTGCAGGCCCATGTGCGTGCATCCCTGGGGCCTCCACGGCTCCTGGTACTATGGCCAGGGGTGCAGCTGGGGAGCAGGCCCAGGGCTGAAGTGCTCACGGTCAGTAAAGTGAGGGACGGAAGCTGGGAGAGATGCAGGCGGTCCTGGAGCCCCGATGCGGCCCATCAGTTCTTGAGTCCTGGGAACTCCCAGCACCCGTCACTGGCCGCACACGGGCCAGATTCCCCTCTGGAAACTTTGTGCCCAGCCCCCACGTCGATGCCCAGTGTGGGCTGGGCTGGGTCCACAGCACTGCTTCCTGGGCTGGCTCCCACATGCGCCTTGGCAGTGACCTGGTCCCTGCCATGGAGCCCCCCTCCGAAGGGGCCTGGGAGGAGAGGGTGAGCCATGGGACACTGGGGCCCCTCGGTCCCTCATTAGGAAGTGGCGTAGTTCTCCTCTGGCAGGGGAGTTGGGGTTTGCTGCATAAAATGTCAAATTGCAGAAATTAAAAATGTAAATGCTGGCATCTAATTAACCAGTTGACAGCAGTGCACAGCTGCAAGTGACAGTGACTGATTGCCTTCTGCGAGCCTCTCTCCCCAAGCAGCGCAGCCCTGCCCACCCCCCCGTTCACCCCTGCAGAGGCACCACTGGAAAGAGTCTGGAGCCCTGTGGGGGGCACCTACCGCATCTATGACAAGGGACGTTAGAGGGACTCAATGTGACCAGCTGGACCACTCTTGGCTACTAGGAGCAGAGGTGGCGCAGAGATGGGTCCCACCCCTGTCCACTCTCTGCCAAAGCCTTGGCCAGGTCCCAGGTTCCTTCCCTCTGTGCCCGTGGGAGCTGGGCCAGATGCACCGCCTAGAGGGAGGGGCCCTGGAGGGGCCCCCAAACAGACAGCCCCTGGCCCAGGCAGGGTGCCAGGAGTTTCCATGTCTCTCCCCATGTGCACGGCTCCAGCAACTTCCCCATGCCTTCCCTTGGCAGGTACTACTCAGACATCGGGAAGATGCCTGCCATCAGCGACCAGGACATGAACGCCTATCTGGCCGAGCAGTCCCGGATGCACATGAATGAGTTCAACACCATGAGCGCACTCTCAGAGATCTTCTCCTACGTGGGCAAGTACAGCGAGGAGGTGAGCAGGCCCACGGGGGCTGTAGGGGGGCTGGGGCAGAGAGCAGCCTTGGCATGGTGCCCCAAAACACCCCACCCCAGCGCCCCAGGCCCCCACCTGCACCGTCCCCTGGATATGGGGCTGTGTTCTAAGGATGGGGACTCTAGAGGCTTCCATTCTGCACACTCCTCATCAAACCCCCTTCTTCTCCAGCATAAGGATGAGGTGTTCATGTCTTTTTTTATTATTTCTTCTTCCCCATCCTTCTTACTCTTACTGTGTCCCATTTATCTCTTGGGCCTGATGCTATGTAAGCAAGGGCCTCCCTGTTCCCATGGGCAGGTGAGGTGGTCTGGTGCCACCCAGACCAGACTAGAGCAGAGGAGGACGGGACAGAACAGGCGAGAGTCAGAACAGAGCACTTACACCAGCTAGTTGGGGTCCTCCCCGGCTGGAAAGCCTCCTTTGGGGTCTGTGTCCCTGTGGACACCACCTCGTTTCAGGCCAATACACAGATTCTTACGGGGTTTTCTGGGCCTTACGAGGTAGACCAGGTGGGTCTGAATCCAAGGCCCTGAACAGCACGCACCACTTGCTCTCCTAGTAACATTGGTGACAGGAACTGAAGCCACTCCCAGCCTTGCTGCTGAGAGAAGGGGTAGGACCCCGGGTTTCGGGAGGCTCCCTGGCAGCTGCACCAGTGTCCCATGGGCCAGCGTAAAGCCGAGAGCCTTGGGTGAGGGGGAGCCTGGGGTGGTGCCTTAGGGCCAGTCAGGGCAAAGTTTGACAACTACCCGCGCCAGAGAAGTAGGGATAGTGCAGAGAACGCTGTCTCCGAGGGCAACTGGGGAAGCATCTTGTCTTGGAAAACCTGTGTCGCTACCTGCAGCACACACGTCCACTCTCGTTAGAATGGTCTGTCTGTATGAGCCGTCCACGCCAGTAACGGGAGGCTCTTGGCCAGCACACATGTTGGCAGCTCTGCTTGGTCTTTTCTATTCAAAATGCATTTTGGCCCTCCCTGGTGGTGCAGGGGGTTAGGATGCAGCACTGCAAGCTAGCCACAGCCGCTTCAGTGCGAGTTCAATCTACAGCCCCAGAGGTGACCCACAGGGCGCAGCAGACCTCTGCTCACCTGCTGCTCCCCTCAGCAGTGTACTTCATCATTCGGCCTGTTCTGCTCCCCAGAACACATGAATCCTCTCACCGCCCCTAGCATCTCTGGCCTGTATCCCAGTTCTGTATGCAGAAATACATACATTTACCTGATACAGAACTGGGGTACAGGCCAGAGGCTCAGGGGCGGTGAGAGGCTTCACCAGAGACAGAATGGGGAGCAGAACAGGCAGATCGACGAAGTACACTGCTGAGGGGAGCAGCGGGTGGGTCAGGAGAGGTCTGCCACGCCATGTGGTCACCTCTGGGGCTGGCGGGGATTGAACTCATGCGGAAGCGGCTTCAGCCTCTCAGTGCTGTGCTTTAACCCTCTGGGCCACCAGGGAGGGCCAATAAATAAATCTTTAAAAAAAAAATACATTTCATGGGCCTGGGAACCCCAAGCTCTGGGAGTCTCCCTTCAAGCCTGCAGTCTCCTCTTCCCCCTCTGTCCCTCCCCGCAGACCCCAGCACCAGTAGGTTCCTGCCTGTTCACCCACTGCCCAGGGGCAGCTGCGTTCTAGCTGCTCACAGCTGTTCTCTGACGTTTTTCGCTCCACCAGAGCAGACTAGACGGGCCGGTCATTTCCATATCTGACAGAGGAGTCAGTGAGGGGATACAAGTTTCAGCCCACTTGAGACTGACTGCCTGTTACTCCCACATCACTGCTGGGTCTGAGTCCTGAGTCCAGTTCTAACACACTATCACGAGCAGCGATGTTCCTGTCGTTGTCCTGCACCAACCGTCTAATCTCAGACAAGGCCTTAGCCACAAGCTCCCTTAGGTGTTAATGACCGGAAAAGCTGAAGAATTAACTCTTCGAGTGTTTATAACAAGTCATACTAAACCAACTACTCTAGAAATGTGGAATTCTGGGTCTCAGGGAACCAGCGGGGAAAGTCATCCTTCTTTGGATTTCCTAGTGTCCATGAAATCACACCACACCTGGACCCTGAGCTCCCCATTCCCCATGGGCACGGGACACGCAGCCATTTAACCTGAAGGCACCTGGACATCCTTGCACAGATGTCATCTGCCCCTGCCAGCCGTCTGCCATGGGCATGAGAAGAGAGAACACGTTTACTCAGACATGTGTGCTGAGACCAGGGCTCTGTGATCCTGGGGTGCACACACATTGTGCCTTTGTCCAAGTGCCCCCCCCACAAACCTCCCCATTCCCATTCCCCGGCCACCGCTCCACGGCCTCATGGGTGCATCTGCCCAAGTGAACCCAGACTTCGGCATGCCAACTCCTAACCAATCTGTGCTTGGCCCTTTGCAGATCCTCGGACCTCTGGACCACGATGACCAGTGCGGGAAGCAGAAACTGGCCTACAAACTAGAACAAGTCATAACCCTCATGAGCTTAGACAGCTGAGACCCGTCCTTCCAGGGCCGCCCTGGAGGTGGGGACACACCAAGCCGTGCCTCAGTCTAGATTATCATCTTTACCAAGTGCAAGTTCCCACTGGCATCTGCAGCACCCCCTGAACAGTGCTTTCCCTCTCCCTCTCTCTGCCCTTTCTGTCTCTCCCTCCTGCCTGGATACCTTCTCTTTCAGTTGCTCGGCCAACACGATGGAACCCAGCCACCGACCCTCCGTTCATCCAGGATGGGCCCCTGCAGGCACGTGACCCTAAGACCCCGGCAGGGCTGGCTCTCCCAGCGGGTCCTCTGCATCAGAAGCGGGGCCCGGGCAGGGGTGAGGGACCTTGGCAGAAGGTGCTGCTATGCTGCTGATTCACCTCCCCTTCCGGAGAGTGCACCTTTGTCTGATCCTTGGTCTGGGGAAGACGCATTGAGCTCAGTATTATCCTCACTGGGAAGACGCGCCTGGCTCTCCATTTCTGGCAGTTGAGTTGGGGGCTGGTCTCTTTGCAACCATGAGGAGGAGGCCACCCTGCCTGCAGCTGGTGGAGCAGGTGCGAAGGATCGAAAGGGGCTCTGTGCACGCCTCTCGCGCGTTGAGTTGGTTTCCAGAGGTCTCGCTCCCCTTCGAGTCTTCTAGGAGTCCTTCCTAGTGCCTGGAGGGACCCGCCTGCCTGGTCTCCTCCCCTGCCTATGGAAAGCAGACAGGAGATAGAATAGCAGTTTCATTCCACCATGGAGACGCTCCTAACCTCTTATTCTGGCTCACAGTGGCAGAAGTGTAACATGGAAGGAGAGCCAAGGGAAGAGAGCTGCAGCTACTCTGAAGGCAGACTTGGTTGTTTGCCATTCGCCCCCCCGATGCAGAAGAATCGCAACTGTGCTCACGGGTCTAATCCATTGCCAGGTCCCCCAGGGCTGTCTCGAGCACTCCGTCCTCCTTGGCCATCGCTCACCCAGGATCAGCGTAAAATGCAGAGTGCATCTAGGAGATTCTACCTCCGGCCGTCTCCATGGCTCCATCCCCACAAGCCTTCCTGAGGACTCCACAGAGGTTGGGGCAGTCTAGCCCTGCACCCCTGCAGAATCTGGTGCCATTGCTATGCAGGTGACTTTGTCACTGGACTGTCCAGAATCCCTTGGGAATTATTTCATCAACATCTCAGCTATATCTTTAGCCGCTTTCCTCCTTCAATAGTTGTCACTAAGAGATCCCCATAGCACAAGTCCCACAGAGACTAAGGAAGATGCCAGCCCCACCAGCCCCCTGCTCTTCACCTCCGGGAGGGACCGACACATCACGCTAAAGGACCAGGCTGGAAATGAGAGAAGGGACACAGCACAGACCTGGGCCCTGCACCTGGCTCTCCATCCTCTTCCATCTGTCTGCCTTGCTATCTGTGGACACACCGCTTTAGCTAGTCAGGCAGATGTGTGCTCGCTAGGTGAGGGAAGGGGAGCTGGGGCGATGGCGAGAGATGGCCATTTCCAAGGGACCCTAGACACGTCTGCTCCCGTCTCCCACAGAAGCAGCAGTCTGTGCTGGCAGCGCTGGTATCCAGTTGTCTGCCACCCTGGAGACGAGAAGAACCATCTAAGGTGGGGTTGAAGATGAGGAGTCCACAGTCCGAGCCTCAGTCCCCCCGCCTCTGAGATCATCCCCTGCCATCCACTGAAAACAAGCCCCCCGCAATAGGGGAAGGAACTATACCGATCCAGGGTGCTATGGAGCACCCCATTCTCCAGAATGCTGGCCTCTTTGGAGGGGAACACGTGTGCACCTGTGTGTGTGAGCATGTATGTCTGTAGCGGCAGAGAGCCCAGAGTGAGTTCTTGTCCTAGGTAGGAGGATTTTGAAGTGTTTCCCTTCTCTCGCTTGTCATTCATCCTGCAGCTTCAGGGCATTTCAGTGCTGGCTTTCTCTGCTGAAGGTGGGGAGCTGGAGGGTACAGGGAGAGGCCAGCTCTCCCAGGAAACCAGGGTGGTCACTGGCCCGGGCTTGGACTTGACTGGAGGCCGGGAAGGAGTGACCCACAGGGCATCACGTGACATCAAGGTGGACAAAGAGTGGCCGGAAGCCCAAGTCACCTACCCAAGGGAAAGATGCATGTCAAGGAAGAGAATAACCCAAAGTTTTGGCAAGTGAAGTGCGAGATGAAGGCGCAGGAGTTTCCACCCTTGGTGGTTTTCTTCCTCCCCAGAATCCCAGGGCCCCTGGCAGCCAGCAAGCACTGCCTCGCTCGTGAAACTATTTTTGCACATGTGAGGGTCAGAGAGGAGAGAGACACAGACATATTTAACACAGATTTGCTGAATGGCAGCTGCGTGTGTGTGAGTGAGTGTGTTTCCATTTATTTTTTAAGTTTTGCACAGTTAGAAAAATAATGAACAAGCAGAAGAATAAGACTGTCCTCCCAGGTCTGCGGAAGCGTTTATTTTTTACTGGATTATTATTATTGTTATCGTTCCTTTGTCGGTACATTTCCCCCCGTGTTTTTGTTAGAAGAGACCCTTCAAACACCTCAGAGAAATGTCAGGAAGGAGGCGAGGGCACACGTGTCCCTCGCGCTCCTCCCTCCGGGAGAGGTTTTATTTTCTCGGCTGAGGTGGGGGGGGGGGGTTGCTGGTGCCTTTTTGCCCACACCTCTGGCCTGCCTGGAGGCGCAGAAATGGAATGGGGCGAGGAGAAGCACAGCCTGTCTTGCCCGGAAATATTCTTGTCCCTTTCCATGTTTGTTTTCTGTTTCTTCCGTTTGGATTCTCGGTGCACGTGTGATATGTTTGAGTCAAGATAAGGCAGTGTTGTTCAAAATGCTGTCCTTTCCCCAAAATCCTCTTTCCAAACCTTTCCTTGGGATCCTCCATCTGCCCCTGGCAGAGCGGAGACGCGGAGAGCTGCCCAAGTGGCAAGGAGGACAGTTCTAGCCATAGAAGGGGTGTGGGCAGACGGGTCCTGGCCCTGGCGGGTGTGGGGAGGCCCTCCTCTCCGTCACGGCTCACTGGCAGGGTCACCGATCTGTTGAAGGTGGGACCTTTATCTGACTCCTTGAGTCCTAGGCACAGAGCAGGAGGAAATGGCCTTCCCCACCCCCGTGTCCTCCCCTGTGACCACCAGACCACACAGCTGCAAAGAGTTCATGCGTTCAAAGGGCCGCTGCGTGAGGTGGGATTTGAATGCCAGAGGCAAGTGGGCTGAAGGTAGGGAGACGGGGAGCTTTGGGGGGCCCCGCACTTGACCAGACAGAAACTGAGAAGATAGTTGCAAGCTGGGCACTTCTCCCAAGGACACAAGTCTCCCCAGAGGTGGCCTTTGTCATTCTATGTCCCTCATACCGTGATCCCGACATTTCTGGGCACCTTCAGACAGTGTCATTAAGTGAGGTTGGCTATTGGGTCAGTTACTTCCTCAGGAAAATACTTCTTGCCTTCTTCTCTCTGTAGTTTTAAATTTGGGGACAAGATAACCTGAGTGCCCCACCCACCAAGGTACGTTCACACTCTAGAGAGACAGATACCTCGCCCCTCCCCCAAGGGGAGCTGCAGGCCAGGGACTGGGGCCTGAGACCCAAGAGCAAGGCCGTGACCAGAGAGACGTCATTTTTAATCCCAACATTTGAGGTCGCAAAAAACAAGAAGCGGGCAGGGCCGATTGTGAGGGCCCCGGCCCTGCTCTCACACCCTAGTCCAGGCTGGTGAGAACGTTCCGATGCTCCAGGTCCCTCTGCTCATGTCCCCTTTGCATGTCTGGCCTCTGAGTGTCCCCTCCCTGTCCCTCTCCAACCACCTCCTGCACGCATAGTCTCTGGCCCCAGGCCTTGTCCCTTGTGGGGTACAGGAGCCGCCCGGCCCCTCTGTAGGCCCTCTAGGAATGGTGCTGCCTCTCAGAAAGGTGGGTCCCTCCTCAGAGGAGCCACAGCAATAGTTTTCCAAATGGCCTCCAGTTAAGAGGCAAGTCCTGCCGATGTTTCTAGAACCCCTAAACGATGCTGGGACTAATCCAAGTAGAGGCTACTGCTCACTTGGACCTAAAAGGAAAGTCCTGATTTCCATCTGTCTCCTTCCTCAGGACTATTCTTTTGTCATCACGGACTGCAAGTCCGAGACTTAGCCAAGGGAAGGCTAAGGTTAATTATCATTAATCAGAAGCAAACATTGCCACCTCAGAGAGCTAAGGAGGCGGGAGAGACAGGAGGTGACCCGCAGGCAGAAGGCCTGGCCCAAAGCACGTCCTTCTTGGGCCTGGCCGCCCTCTCTTCCAGGGATGGGCCACCCCATGGTCACCCCAGTCCAAGTCTGAAAGTTCTCTGAGAGGCATTTCTGTGAATGGATACCCTCCAGGGACCAGGGTCCCCCACAAGACCCTGGAGAAGACCCCAGCCCAGGCAGACCCTACATCCATGTTCCCAGTCCATGCAAGGGCCTCCAAGGTTTGGATGTAAGGTCCAAATTACTGGGAGGAAAAGCAAAACCCTGTCGCTGTGACGTCCAAGGGGGTGGCGGGAGGCTGGAGGCTGGGGAGGTGCCTCCCCCATTATTAAAAATGGGTCAGGACATCCCCGGCGTAGAGGGCCAGGGGAAGTGTCCTCCGTGGCTGCTATATTCCTGACACTACCACTGAACCTTGGTGGGTAGGAGCCCAAAATGCCACCCCCTACCCTTGCCGCCACCCCCACATGGGTGCAGCAAATGAGCCTTATTTCACAGGGTGGGAAGGTGACACTGACGAGGCAGCTCTGAGAGACCCCAGGACGCTCGCTACAAGGCTCTTGGTCTGAGTGGCTAAACCCCTCCTGGGGGCAACGCCAGCCCCTCGCTCAGAAAGGAATTCACAGTAAAAGTTTTGGACATTCAAGAGAGACTTTAAAAAAAAATCTTCAAATTTTTGTTCCCCGATAAAATTATTTTTTTATTTGGAGGAGTACCCAACTTCGTAAAATATATAGGATTTGGGGATTATAAAAGTAATACTTATTAGCGTTCCAATTTAGATTCTTTTTCCAGTTCAATTCTTCGAGCAGGCTGATGACAACCCGAAGCAAAGCTAAGCGAAATGGAACAAAATGCCTAATGGATAAAAAGAACTTTCTATTTGTCTTGGCAGAGAAAGTGAGGTAGGCCCGGGGCCAGGACCCCCCTCCAATCTCTTCAGTCTTGGTGTCTCAGGGCTGCCTCTGGTGGTGTTGGGTCCCACAAGTTTCTCTCCAGGTTCCCTTCAAATGTAGAGACGCCCTGTTAGGGATGGCTCAAGGTGACCCACGTCGCCCCCTGCCCCCAAACACGCATGCTCATGGACATAGACTCAGTCTATGCAGCTGTTCTTCTACCCATTTCTTTACCTGGAGTTAGAACTTCTTCTGTTCATAACTTTGATCTTCCCACTCAAGCACATTTTGGAAGGGCTCCTTACAAGAGTAGAACTCAAAACAGAGGACACAGTGACAGAACAAGGCAAAGGACACTCAGAAACTGGGACTGCTCACCCCAGCAGACTGGAGAACATAGTTCAGGCACCAGACCAGGATGGGAAAGGGCTCCCCGTGTTCTTCCCGCTCCCTCCCTTGATGTTCCTGTCTGCTTGTCAGCTCGTCAAACCTTCTGTTCTTGAAAAAGAAAAGCTAGTTTACCTCAAAGAATCTTGTTTTCATTTGGAAACCAATGACTTTGTGTTTTAGAGTGCATGACCCTCCCTGACACTCCCTGCCTGGGCCCGGGGCCCTTGGGGGTCTGAGGTCCTGCACACTGTGCTGGCTGTGTTGACCAAGAATGAGACCCCCAGGCCCTGAGATGGGAAGGGAGGGTTGGATGCTGCTGCCTTCCTCCTCATGTTTGCTTGCAGGGACCAGCCTATCTTGCAGCAAGGTCCTGCCAAGTTACCATAGCAACCAGCAACTCCAGACTACAAGAGACAATGGCTCAGTGAGCCAGGTGTGGGGGGAGAGGAGTCTGGCCTGGTCAGATGACCCAGAGTTAAGTCTCAAATGCTAGAGGGAGAGGAGAGACAGGAATGGAGGAATGGCCCTTGAAGGAGGTGGAGCAGGTCACTCCTGGTCTCCCCACCTTCCGGTCCTGCCGCCCTGTTTCTGTTTCCATAAAGCTCCTACCTTGAACACTGACCCTTGGTTAAAACAACGCAAACCAACCACATCTTTAGACAACAGTGTTATACTGAGCCTCAAAGACAGGTGGATGAAATCTATTCGAGGAAGAGGTGTCTTCTGGTTTTGACTCCTAAAGAAGAGTATCCTAGTCAGATTAAAAACAGATTAAAAAAAAAAGTTTTTAAAAAAGAAACCTATGCTATTTAAATTGGAGCCCAGTTATAACTTGGTAAAGGCAAGCTTCTGTACCTTTGTTATAATTAATTGTATACCTGTGTATGTAAATATAAGGCATTCCTATTTTGCAGTTCAGAACAAAAAAAAAACCTATTTGTAATATAGAATAAAGTTTATTAAAAAATAATAAAAATGCGCTTTGGAATCTCAGTCTTTCTTTGGCCATCTGGCTGGAAGGGAGTGGGGCAAGACTGTGCAGGAGCATGAGGCGGACACTGTTTTAGAGATCCAGCATCTCTCTCCAGCTACAAGGTGCCTCAACTCAACCGCCAAGACGGCTCCTCTCACTTGAGGCTCTGTTCTCCATGGCAAAGCAGCAGCCTTCTCTGGGGTGGTAAGAGAGGGACATTGAGCTGCCGCTCAGAGTCCCTAACAGCCCAAACATCACAGTGCCACACAACCTGGTCAGCCTCTGAGTCCTCAACACGGCTGTCCAGGGAGACGCCCCTGACCGTTTAGGGCTGGAGAGGACACAGGTAACGCACTGCATCAGCTCTTCTGGGCAATTCCATCCCCGTGTATGTAGCTCTGTCCCCACTTTCGATAGCTGGAGGGAAGCGGCCAGCACTTTGCTGCTCCCCACTCCACTGGGCCCATGCTGGCTTAGGGAAGGTGGTGAGGGGGAGGGGAGCCTAGGCCCGGCCTGGGGGAGGAAGGCTATGGCCCTGCAGCTAGGCAGACACTTTGGCCTCCCTGCACTTCCACACCTCCAAGAAATGCAATGTTATTATTTAACATGGAAACTGATCAGTGAGAGAGAATCAGGAGGAAGCAGGATAAAGAGGGAAAAGACAGAAACAGGAAATGGAAAGATTAAGGGAGGAATATAGAAAAGACCCTGAGGGACCCAACTGCCATAGGGCTTCAGGCCAAGCTGCCACCCCTCTGTCCCTTCTGCTCCCCTCCTACCAATGCTGGACTCCCCCAGCCTTCAAAGCCCAGCTCTCCCCAACGTGAGCAGAGGGCATTTGCAGGGAGGGAGAGGAGGGGAAGGGCGAAGGGGGTGAGGGGGACAGGGGAACCTCGGAGGTCAGGAGGTGACCCGGTGAGGTGTCCAGGGACCTGGTCATGGTCCTGCCCTGAAACACTGTCCCTCCCCCTAGAAGAGACCCGTTCTGAACTGTACTTACTCAGGGACACAGCCAGAAGCCAGGATCCCAAGATGCTTCAGATCCAAGGATACCTCCCAGCCAAGAGGTGTCTTCTGGTTTTGACTCCTAAAGAAGAGTATCCTAGTCAGATTAAAAACAGATTTTAAAAAAAGTTTTTAAAAAAGAAACCTATGTTATTTAAAGTGGAGCCCAGTTATACTTGGTAAAGGCAAGCTTCTGTACCTTTGTTATAATTAGTTGTATACCTGTGTATGTAAATATAAGGCATTTCTATTTTGCAGTTCAGAAAAAAAAAAAACCTATTTGTAATATAGAATAACAGCCAAAACAGTCAATGAGGACAGAACCCCTTCAACCTTGGGACAAGGTGAGAGCAGACACACCTGCGTGGGAAACCTGGAATGAGCGAGTCAAGCCCTAGCCCAGAATGGACAGATGGAGATCAACAGAGCGGATTTCGTCAGTTTCAACTCACAGGAAGGTGAACTCCACGAACAGGAAGGAGGTAGCCCCTTCGCACAGCTAGGCAGGCAGTGACATGGCAGCGTGATCTACTGAATGTCGGGCCTGGATTCCCCCTGCCATCGGTTCCCGCCGGGTTCTAGGTCCCTTTACTTATGTGATCTCACCCTTCATCACAACTCGCCACGCAAGGGGGTGGTTCACTTCTCGTGATTTTGTTTCCTTACTCATAAATTGAAGACAGTTCTAATGTTCCGTGATGCCCAGGAGACTGTGGGGAGGGATGATTTAGGGAATTCAAGTACAGAGGTCCAGCACGTTGCAAAGGGCTGTACACACCGGGGTATTATGATTAGTCATGAAGTTGATACTTTACAAACCAACAGCACATTTGAAATGGGTGTTGTGCTCATCTGTTTGGGCTGCCATAAAGGAGGCATTTCTCTAAAGACTGGAAGTCCCAGACCCCAGAACCAGGGCTGGAAGCTCCCTTCTGTGAGGTCGCCCTTCCTGGCTGTCAAACAGGACCTTCTGTAGCCTGGTTCTTCCACGATGTATGAGTGGAGAGAGAATGAAACCTCTGCTGTCTCTTCTTCTTAAGACACTAATCCTATTAGAATGGGACCCCACTTTTACAACCTCATTCAACCTTAATTATTTCCTAAAGGCCCTGTATCCACATTTAGTCACCTGGGGGTTAGGGCCAAATGGAGGAGTATAGGTTGGGGGGCACAATTGACTCCATATGAGATGCCTTATTTATTCATCGCAGAAAGGGAAGTCACCTTATGAAATATGTATATGTTCTGATTGCTTTACTATGAGACCGCTGAAGGCAGAGACCATCCTTGTCGAGTTCACGTCTCCAAGCTTAACAAGCATCCAGTGCTTGTCTATCATGATGGGGGTGGGAGGGACGGAGGGGCAGAATGAAGTCAAAGCCAGCGGCTACCGATTTGCCCTCAGGGTCGTCTTCCCCACTCTGTTCATGTCCATGTATGGCCACAGCCTCCCTCCCAGGAATAGTTTACCTTTAGGAAACAAAAGCTTTACCACTTTCTTGGTTGCTTGCCTGGGACTGGCTGTTTTTCCCAGGTAGAGACCAGGCTCTCCTTTCTTAAACCTGCTCAGTGGTTTAGCCAAACCCCCACCTTGAACACTGTCCCGAGCCTGCAGGGCCGCTATAGGTAAGCCTGAAGACAGGTGCATGTGTAGGGTTAGCTGGTAGATTGTGTCTGGCTGACATAGCTTTAGCCCCAGTAATGGAGGCTTGCCAAACCACTCACACTGAGGCCCTGAAATATGAGTCCTAAGAATGTCACCAGCAGTGCTCCATCAGCAGTGTTCCACCAGAAGAGCTCCAGCAGCAGAGGTCTATCATCAGTGCTCTATAAGGAGTGCTCCAGGAGAAGTGCTCCATTAGCCAGAACCACAGAGAGAAGACAAAATGACACAGAGTGGAACCACAGATGATCCTGAGGTTATACGAGCAGATGACACAATCTGTTGTTTGGGGTCACTGAGGGGTAAGGGCTGCTGATAGCAGCCCCCACAAGATACAGCCCACACGAGGTTTCATGTGACCAGTGGGAAGCTTCTTACCCCAGAACTGATGAGTGAAGTCTTAGCCTTCACTACAGAGAACTATTCTTTTGACTTATGTCTTCTTGTTAAGAGCATTATTGGCTATTTACACTCAATGAGAATCATTTAGTGAAAGTTTCTGATTTTCTGGAGCTGCATTTTAGGGCTGATTAGGGAAGAAGGGGATGATTCAGAAAAGAAAGAGCAAATGTAGAGAGAACAGGAAGAAGGACGTGGAGTGGAGTGGAGTGGAGTGGAGTGGAGGAGGGAGGAGGAAGAGGAGGAGAGCGCCTCCTACCGACTTGGAACTGGAGGTTTCCTCCCCCGATGTCTAGCCTGCCTGTGGGGGGAAGATGCTTCCAGCCCCATGGAAGTCGTATAGCCATGTCTCACGTCACCTCGGGGGTGGGAGGGGAGCTGTCTCCACCTAGGGATGAACCCAACCAACGTCATTTTAAAACATGATCTACAAGGTTCTGTGTACTTGATGTTGACTGGGGGCATCAGGAAGTAGAGCGGCCATAGATGGGCCCCCAGGCTGTGCTCCGGGCCCCATTCACCGATGCTCATCCTGTTTTCTTAATGAAGAAGCTTGGTGGGTGGTCCTCCCTGGGTGTGAGGTACTCAAGCCCCTTTTCTCACTGTGACTTGCCTCTTTCTTTATGAGTTCTTACACACAGCGCAGGTGAAGCTCCAGGGAGCCAGAATCATGAGCATCTGGCCTAGGCGACCAGCAGCAGCTTCTATGCCCGGGACGGGTCTCCAAATCCCTCCCTGGCAGCCTTAACACATTCTCTGCATGCACCAGGGGTGAAGTTATGCCCACTGCTGCCCAGCCCTGCTTCCAGGGGCAAGTTCCCAACCATCTCAGATTTCTCATTTGGAAAAATGAGAACAATAAGGCTTCCTTCCAGAGTGGCTGAGATGATCAGGCGATCAGACTAGGATTACAGAGCACTGAGAGCAGGCGGTGTCGCTTTCAGTGGAGTGGTAGGGTCCTCACGACCCTCCCCACCCCAATTCCGACCCCCACCAGGTTATCTCTCTAGTCCTTGTTGTGGGCCAGGACCCAGCTAAGTGTTCACTCTAGAAGTGTGTATTAAATGAAAAATAAAATAAAGTTGGTGCAAATCCTGAAATACGCTCAAATCCTGAAATACGTGATGGGCCATAGCTTTGCAATCAAGTACAAAAGTGGGAACTGAAAGTGACAGAGCCTGAGTTTTCCTCAAAAGCAGTGCCTAAGACAAGAGCTGCTGGGCAGGTGGCTTATTTTGGGATGTGGAGACCAGAAACAGGAAGGCAGGTAGGAGAGCGAGGACCCACTGGTTGAAGGGTGTCTCGGGGAGCTTGTCCTCACTCTGGGCGCTGGGACTCAGTTCCCCGATCCTCTAGAATTGAGAGAATAGACTTCAGAAGGGGTCCATCAGCTGCTGATGGCCACTGCCCAAAGACTGCCCAGCTGGCTGTATGCCCCAGGATTTCTAGATTCACAGATGTGTAGAATATCTAGGTCCCACCTCGGGACACAGGATCCTGGAGCAGAAGGCAGGGCAGGGTTAGTGTCTGTCCCTAAAGCAGATGCCCCGAGGCTTCGAGCCAGGCTACCTGGTTGCTATGGCAACTGCTGGAGTTGAAAGGTGGGTCAAGAGGGTATGAAGTAGGGCGCCCAGGAGGTCTGCAACACAATCTGTAATCCTTTAGACCCTTTAAAATGCTGTAAGAGCAAGATTAAAGCCATTTCAAAACATTTTCCTGGTAAGAGCCCTCAATTTTCTGCTACGTCTTCATTTTTCTATTACCTCCAGTTTCAGCTACAGTCTGTGCATGTCTTCTCCTTGCCTTTATTGACAATGAAAACAAGTTTCTATCCTGCCTGGAAAGTTGTGACATACGTGGGATAAGGAAAGATCAGAGCCTCATGGGGCGTGGGTGTGGGTGAGTCTGGGATTCGCCGGCCCCCGCCTCT